AACGACTAAGAGTCAAGCTTCGAAAAATGAAAATAAAAGAAGAAAAAATAAAAACTTTTTTTTAGCATTTAATAGGGAAAATTTTAATACTGAGGCTCATTGCTAGCTGGTCAAAAGTTTAAGTCCATATTTAAATAAAGCTTTATTTGGTAAATATTTAGTATTTAGCCTAATTTCCCAGTATTCAAATCTTCTAATTAAATGCTAAAAAGTTTTAAATTTTAAATTTTTAAATTTTATTTTTCCTTTTGTCATTTTGAGCTCTTAAATCTCTATTCAAATAAGTGGTTGAATCTAACAGCAGAAAAGCTAATTTTTTTCTTTATTTTCAGTGGCCTTAAGATTTTGGACGGCAGTGTATATTTCTACAGTTACTAACAGACATTAATAGCATATTAAAGGTATATTAAATATAAATTCCCATATAAAAGTACTAAATAAGATGAATAAAATATGAAAATTACTCTAAAAATGAAATAAATTAAATTAGTGAGATAAGATCGCTAAGACATTTTGGCGACGTTTTCATGGTAACGGTTAAGCAATGGATGGGTAGGTTTTTGAATACACCGGGTACATTAAATTAACTGTCAAGTTACAAGGACCTCTGCCAGACACTTTCCTCAAAATCTGAGCAGTGCCCAAAAGAGTTGATTAGAATAATAATAATAATAATAATAATAATAAGAAGAAGAAGAAGAAGAAGAAGAAGAAGAAGAAGAAGAAGAACCTTCAGACAGAAATCACCAAAATGCGACATTTCAAGACAACATTAGCTGTTGTTATTGGGCTTTGAGAAGTTATATCTAAATGAGTAAACGATATATGGATCAAATTCCTGGCAGCCTAAAATATGGAAATTGCAAAAATTCATACACATGGTTAATTCTTACATCTTGCATAGATTTCACTTCATGCAATAATCCACAATTCCATTAATTTTTTTTTCTCTTTGATTAAATTTCATCTCTTCTGTTCACATCTTGTGATAAAAAAAAACTAAAAACTAAAAACTTGAACTCTTGAAGTCTCTGGTTGAGACTTGGGGACAACTCACATTACCCAAAGCAAAGACAAAACACCACCACTACTACTACTAATAATAATAATTATTATTATTATTATTATTATTATTATTATTATTATACACATTAAAAAAAATCCCAGAAAACCCTTCAATCTTTGAGATATAAAAGATTCTGCTCGTGAGTACCGCTCAGAAAAACTCTCTCAATGTAATATACTTGATAACATTCTAAGAAAAACATTTCTTTAACTAAGTCTCGAATAAAAGATTTGGCAAAGGAATCCATTAAAAAGCAAATCAGAAAAACTGAAAATAATAATAATAATAATAATAATAATAATAATAATAATGGTTACTTGTAAAAAATTTATCACACGAGAAATCTATTTTGCTTCCGTCTCTACTTGATAATGCCTGTCATGTTGAGATTCATATGAGAATCGCCATCATTTGGACACCGTCTTATTACGACTTGCTTTTCTTTCTTTTTTTTTTTTTTCTATTTTATTGTAAAAATATTTTTTGTTGTTATTGTTGCTCCTGCTTTGTTAGCGATTTTTCTCTTGTCATTTTATCGTATGTTTGCTTTTGTTTTGATTTTTCCCTACCGATTTCTCATCTGCTATCAGTTGCTGTGCCAAACACTTCTTTTTTTTATTATTCCAGCTTTGTAGAAAAGAATTGCTCACCTGAATGCTAGCAAAAAAGTAACTAACGTTTCTTTTTTTCTCTCTCTCGTTCTTTTCTCTCTGTAGTTTCAACCAATGAACCTCCTATCCTTCTACAGTCATCGAAAATTATCGTTAAACCAGAAGATACAAAAGTTGGTAAGTTATCTTTTATAATGTTCATTGTTACAATGCGAAAATGGTTTGCGCACCAGATTCCAAGTTGGGAAAAACGTATTCTTCAAGAACTCTCACCCTATTTTCGCCACAATATCGATTTTAAAAATATTCATACAGTAAGAAATTTGAAGCAAACTGGACAATTTTGTGTTCCGTTCAGTCATCATTCGACGTAAAATTAAAACATAATGGCTAATTGCTCGTGTGCGAGTATAAACGAGTTTATGTTTCCGAGTACACACGAGCTTAACAGAGGTTCTCGTACGATCACCGAAGTTAAGCAAGGCCGAGCTTGGTCAATACCTAGATGGCTGACCGGTTATGAATACCAGGTGCTGTAAACTTGGATGTGCAGGTGGCATGACCTACGGATATATCACTTAGAAACCGCGGCTCTCGTACGGTTACCGAAGTTAAGCAAGACCGAGCCTGGTCAATACCTAGATGGGTGATCGTTTGCGAATACCAGGTACGTGGATGTGGGGTGGTATGCCTTATGGCTATATCACGTTGAAATATCGCCTCAGGTACGATCACCGAAGTTAAGCAACGTCGAGCCTGGTCAGAACCTAGATGAGTGACCGCTAGGGAATATCAGGTGCTGTAGGCTTGGATGTGCTGATGGTGTAATGTATAACAGCCGGGAATTGGAAATCGAAGAGCAGGGTTTCAATTCCAGTAGAGTTTTTTTTTTCATATTTACTTACGTGAAAAGTGGGGAAAAGTGTAAACACCTTATCTCCCCCCCCAGCTATGGATTAATTAGTAAAACATGTATCAGGAAATCATTATTATCGTTAAAAAAATCTTACAATCTAAAAATATTTTCTGGATCTAAATAACCTGCAAAGTGTTCATAAGCAGTAAAAAATAAATCAATCGAGTGTTCTAGTGCGTCTAGCTAATCTCTGCTGCAAACGCCTCCTCTAGCAACTTTTAGTTTCTTTAACACCTAGAGAACTAACCCGAGGTTTACGCTCCAACTATGCTGTGTGGATTTTAGTTTCTGTGAAAGAATGCATAATCTGAGTTGATCGGTAGAACTCTCGGTCATGATGTCTTGCAAATTGCCGCAACCATAGCTATGGACGACTTCCAAACAGTGTCGTCTGTAAGATTTTTCTCACAACGCTTGGGGTAACTCATGGTAGGTTTTTTAGGTACTTCACTACAGTGCCACACGCTGGGATTGTCTCTCCAGGCTGATATTATCAAGTAGTAAACTCCTTGATAAGTAAATATCAGTGACATTCAAATACGTTTCATACTCGGAACCTTAACAAAAATTACTGCAATCTAATGTGACCAGAATGAACCCCTGTTATAAAAACTTGCTATGTATTTAGCATTTAAGAATTACTATACTTGTTACATATGTCATTTCAATATAGATTTGTAGTTAATTTTCTAATGTCCTGGATTTTAAAAATATGAATCCTTTAGACATCTTAATTTATTATGTTTACACACATAGTTATCTCCCTTGAATTTTTCTCTTAATTTTTACCTCACTTTACAAAATTTTTATTACAATATATATCAGATTGAGCGCGAGAAAGATTCCACAATATTATCATTCATACGTTTTTTTTTTTTTTTTTTTTTTCGTTTTTGGCATTTCTTAAATTAGTACACTTAAAGATAACTTCAATTCCTTGGGCTATAACTTACATACAAACATACTAAATCGGTCTTCTATTATCATAAAAAAAATTATTGTTCAATAATGGAAATAAAAAAAAATATTTACTACATTTTTAAAAGTAATAAATATCGGTCTATTAAATAAGTTAAAAATGGGAGGAATAGTAAAAGGAGAAAACACTGCTAAGAGTGACAAAGAATAGGAAGTTGTGGAGAGCCATAATAGCTCAAGTCCTGAGGGGATATGGTCCATATAAGAAGAAAACTCTCCTTGGATTTTCAGGTTTCTATTATTTTTTTTCTGATAGTTTATTTTTATTACGTAAACGATCATCTTTGATTCTTTGACTGTTGAAGTCGCTAGATGGCGTGCCATTGGCTGGATATAAACTCAGCGCCATTCACAATGAAGAATCGGACAGTTAACAAAAAATTACCTGCAATCTAATGTGACCAGAATGAACCCCTTTTATTATAGAAAATTGCTATTTATTTAGCATTTAAGAATTACTTCACTTGTTAAATATAACATATCAATTGGTGTCTTTTTTGTTAACTTGAAATCCAGTATCAGATCGTCTCGACATTTTATTTATCATATAAAATCTATAACAAATATAAGAGCAATCGCCATGTTACATATATATATATATATATATATATATATATATATATATACAAGTATATAATTGGTGTATACAGAATGAATTCCAATAACCAACAATTCCTATTCTTAAAAGAGTGCTCAATACAAAGTAGAGCAGATATAATTATTTATTTAGAAAATTTATAACATAAACATGTTATAAAATCACTACAAAAAATAGCCATTTTGTTTCAACAACGTTTTCCCCTTGTGAAAGATCGTTAACGAATTTGAAACTTTAAAAACCATTTGTTTTGCATTCAACGTCATCACTTGATAAGACACCGGGAGTGTTGAAACAAAATGGCTATTTTTGTAGTGATTTTATAACATGTTTATGTTATAAATTTTCTAAATAAATAATTATATATATATATATATATATATATATATATATATATATATTGACCTTCATTTAAAAAATTAGACAGAATTAATTTTAACGCAAGGCCACAAATATGCGATACCCAATGAGGATAGTACTACTTTAGTTCAAGCAGATTGTCTCGTTGACGTTTAAACACACTGAGTTGCATAGTTTCTAAAAACACTGTTTATCAG